TGGAGGCGCTGGAGTTGGAGGCACTGGTGTGGGAGGCGCTGGAGCTGGAGGAGCTGGAGCTGTTGACCCTGAAGGCACTGTGCGGCTGCGACCGTACTTCGTTCCCCTGCTTCAGCAAGTTCTTGGTGTCCCGTCTTCTACTAGCCTTACTCCTCCCCTCCTTTGTCCACCGCTTGACCAATCGCAGCTGCTGTTACAGCCGACCTCCCCACTGCCTGCTCCTTCTCCTTACACTGAGCAGTTCGGCGGTCTTACAGAGCGTCGTGAGCCTGCGTCTCGTCCTATCTCGCCTGGTCGCACTGCTCGTCGCGTTCCTCGTTCGCGTCCTTCTCCTGTCCCCGACACGCACGCTATGGCACTTCGTCCTTCCTCTGTTCCACTGCATGTTCCTCTGCCTGCTCCTCCTGTGTCCTCTCTTCCTACGGTCCCTGACCCTGAGTCTGACCGCGCTCGTGATACCAGTCCCACTGTCTCTCATCTCTTCGCCACTGCTGTCGCTGACCCTTCCTTTGAGTCTGCTGCTGCGTCTGCCCTCGTTGCTGAGCTGCTTGACTTTGCTGCTGCCTGTCGTCTAGACTACGCCACTGCTCTTGTTGCTGAGTCTGCGTCTGCCAGTCCTCCGTCCGTCGGGGATGATTGTGCTCTTGGCACGGACGTCCTTGAGGACAGACAGGAGGACTTTGAGTGTCTTGCAGCTGCTGTACCTCGTTTCGCTTCCATGCTGCTTGCCCCTGAGGGAGACCCAGATGCACCAGACATCCCGACCCCGCGCTCTTACGCAGAGGCGATTACGGGTCCTTACTCCTCTCAGTGGAAGGCAGCCATGGATGCCGAGATGGCATCCTGGAAGTCCACAGGCACCTACGTCGACGAGGTTCCCCCACCTGGGGCGAACATAGTCGATGGCATGTGGATTTTCAGGGTGAAGCGGCCGCCGGGTTCTCCGCCTGCCTTCAAGGCGCGTTACGTTGCTCGAGGCTTCAGACAGCGACAGGGGGTTCACTTCTTCCAGACCTTCTCCCCCACCCCGAAGATGACTACTCTTCGTGTGTTGCTGCACGTCGCTGTTCAGCGTGACTACGAGTTGCACTCTCTGGACTTCAGCACAGCTTTCTTGCAGGGGAGCCTGCACGAGGAGATCTGGCTGCGCCGCCTACCTGGATTCACTGGGTCGTTTCCTGTAGGTACCCAGTGGAGCCTCCGGCGGCCTGTCTCTGCCAGGCGCCTCGCGAGTGGCACGACACACTGAGGACTACACTTGCGGCTCTTGGATTTGCTCCTTCTACTGCTGACCCGTCGTTGTTTCTACGCACCGACACCTCGCTGCCGCCGTTCTACGTCCTCGTGTACGTCGACGACCTCGTCTTTGCCACTGCTGATACCGAGGCACTGACCCTTGTGAAGTTGGAGCTGCAGAAGAGACACACCTGCATTGACATGGGTGAACTGCACAGCTATCTTGGCTTGCAGATCACCCGGGACAGAGCACGGAGCACCATCACCCTAACTCAGTCACACATGGTGCACCAGGTCCTTCAGCGCTTCGGCTTCCAGTTCTCCTTGCCACACCCCACTCCTCTGTCTACCGGCCACTCGCTCTCAGCTCCACCTTCGGACGAGTCCGTAGAGCCAAGTGGTCCGTACCCAGAGCTTGTGGGTTGCCTCATGTACCTGATGACTTGCACACGACCTGACCTCGCGTACCCTCTTAGCCTTTTGGCTCGCTACGTGGCTCCTGGTAGGCACCGAAAGGTGCACTTGGATGTTGCGAAGAGTGTACTGCGTTACTTGTACAGTACGTCGGGCATGGGGCTCGTGCTTGGAGGACGGGGTCCAGTTGTCCTCACTGGTCACGCAGACGCTTCTTGGGTTGACGACTCAGCTACGCAGCCGTCGTCACAGGGTTACACCTTCAGCCTTGGTTCCGGCTCTGTTTCCTGGCCGTCTACCTGCTCGTCTTCGGTTCTCAGCTCCAGTTGTGAGGCTGAGATCTACGCAGGGGCCATGGCTGCACAGGAGCTACGCTGGCTCACCTACCTGCTGACTGACTTGGGAGAGCAGCCTCGTTCGCCTCGAGTTCTGTACGTAGACAACAAGGCCATGATTGCCTTGTGTCAGGAGCACTGACTGGAGCACAGAACGAAGCATATTGCTCTACGATACTTCCTTGCTCAAGAGTTGCAGCAGCGTGGCCAGCTTCGTCTTGCGTACGTGGCCACTAGGGCCAACACTGCTGATATTGTCAGAGGTCCACTGGTGATCCCCGATTGATCCTAGGGAAGGGTTACAGGCATGTTGGCCTGGGGGGTTATGGGCGCACTGACCCGCTACTTAACAAGCCCTTCTATCCCAATGGTCTAGTGACTGGGATTCTGACATGGTATCAGAGCGAAGGTCTCGGGTTCGAATCCCAGTGTGTGCACTTCGGGCATCCCAGTGCGGAGGGGTGTCAGAGGTCCACTGGTGATCCCCGATTGATCCTAGGGAAGGGTTACAGGCATGTTGGCCTGGGGGGTTATGGGCGCACTGACCCGCTACTTAACAAGCCCTTCTATCCCAATGGTCTAGTGACTGGGATTCTGACAGATATATTCACCAAGGCACTTCCGCCTGGTGATCATCAGCGCTTCTCTACTGTGTTAGGCCTTGTGCCTACTTTGCCTTACTTGCTCACTACTTGACTCTGCTTGTACTGTGATCTATATATATACCTGCGTGCTTACACTTGCTAGGGTATGATCACTGTATTGTTTGTTCTCTTTTATATATAACTCTGCATGTGAACTGGCCTTGTGGCCCTTTGCTTGTGCTCGGACTGTGTGGTGACTTTGTGATCCACCCCGAGCTTGGTTTGCTTTTCTTGACTGGTCTTGTGACCACTTGTTCTCCCCCACTTTGCCTATGGGGGTGTGAAAAAATGTTGTATAGCTTATATTATGTAGGCCCACAAGGGGTGTAACCCAATTAGGGTTAGTACTTGTACCCAACTCTTTGCTAGTTCATTCATTCTCGTTCATTATTCTGACAAGATGGAGCAGCGGCGACGGTTAAGTCACGTGCGTGATGTGGCTTCCATTCTACATCTTGCTTACCACTCTCACAAGCCTATTTTGTTTGTTTTTTCAGTCCACATCATCTTTCTACGATTACTTGCCAGAAGCCCTATGTCCCTTCCAGTGCATGAAAAACCATCTCACCCTGTGTGCACATTATGTGAAACTGCCCTGTCTCCTTTCCTTGCCCTTCTTTTTGCAGACCGATTATCCTCTGGCAGGAGGAGCAAGCAAGCCTAGGAAGTCAGCAAGGCCAAGCGCCAAAAAGTGATTTCTACTTGTGGATATGAGGGGAAAGGATATTGATATGGGGGAGGGATGCTTCTTGTAAAAAAAAATCCTCTGGTGCTTTGGTGGTGTTTTCTTCAGGGTGTCCGTATCTAAGGTGAATCTGGCCAAAAGGTTGGCTTGTTGCTATTGGGAATGCATGGGAATCTATGATCAAATTAATGTTTGATTTTTGTAGCAGGTTTCTTGGAGGTTCGGGGTTCAAATTGGTTGCAGGAATTACACATAATTCCATTATGTTAGTATAATAAGCACATCACACTGAGGGATAAATCGAAAGTCCCTATTTTTGTATAAAATATAAAGAAGCACCAACCTTACTTTCCCGTTCATTCTTGCAAGTAATGAATGATCTCTTACTGCAATTGTTGCAACTCACTTGTTCTTCCATTTCCACCGCCATCTGCGGTAGCCCTTAAAGCCGGCGGCCCAAATTGTTCATGCTTTTAAAAGTTGACCAGAGGGAGTTTTTCTGGTGTGGGCTTTGGCGAGAGTTTCCGATTTCGTCTAGGTTCGTTTTTTTCGCGAGACCAAGCCAACCCTCGGTTTTCCCCCTGGTGAGTGCATCTGTCTTCGAAAGTCCCAAATTGCAAGTGCGTGACTTTCAAAAGCTTGGACACTCAACTTCGTCAAGTTTTAAAAACTTGACCCTCGCGGCCCGCAATTTGGGACGCGGGCTTTAAGCTCCTGAGTACGCGGTAAGGAAGAAAAGCGGAAAATTCGAGGTGGCTTTGTGGGTCGCAGGTAGGAACATTCTCCATCTGTGAGGATCGATTTGAGCCCTCGATCTTCCATCGCCACTTTCAACGCGTCACAATTCTTCACATCGGGCAGCTCGGAAACTGCACTGTCACATTCTTCAGCAGCCAAACACAGAGTCAACGCATCACATGTTCTAACACCGGGCAGCTCCAAAACTGCATTATTTCCCTTGAATTATCACCGAAATTGCATAATTCAACATTCAGCAGCCCAACCAGAGTCGTTTTGTGAGTACTCTCGTGCATTTCACGACAGTAGGCAGAAACTGATGTCCCTCGATGTCGCGCTCCCGTTTTTCCTGGTCCACGCAAACGGACTCATCCCGTCTATAAAATCATGTCGCAAAACATGCTCAAACCATCCGTCTCAACTCATTTTTTAACGCTCAGTTCTCAACCTCTCACAGCTTGTCAATCAAGTTTCATCGCCATGGCTCGCGCCATTCTCTCGGTCGGCCTCGCGCTCTTTCTCGCTGCAACCCTGGCGCTCTCTTTCGCCCAAGGTACGGGCCGTACTACTCTCATACCGTCACGACACCCAAGCCGATGCCCTGTGGTTAAATCCCTCGCACCGCCTTATGCATTGCATTTACTCTCTCTACAATGGTTCACTATTGCAGCCCATCCACTCCCAAACGACACACTTGGTTGATCGCAATGTTCACGTACAAGCGCTCGTTTGCAACGCCGTGGCAGCTCAAGAAAGGCTTGTATCTATGTATAAAGATACGCATCTTTGGTACTTGCTCGCCAATCGCACGCCAATCGCACGGTACTTGCTCGGCACTTTCTTGCAGAAAGTGAACCTTGCTCTCAGAGCTTCCTCGTGCTCCTCCGCTTAACATTCTCTCAACCCCTCACTCCTCTCACTCCCCTTAACCTGCCCCTACCCTACCAGCAACGAGCGCGGCGATAGGAGTCGTTACGGCAGAAAACGCGGCAAGTATTACCCAGCCCAACGAGGCCTACGAGCAGCGCCACCGCAAGCTCCAGACTGGCCCAGTCTCCCCGGGAGAGAAGACGGCATCTGATGGTACGATCATAAGACTGATACAGTCTACTATTGCGGTCTACTAGTGCGGTCTACTGATGTTACAGTCTACTAGTACGGACGATCCAAACGCAGAATGAACGATTAAGTTCTCTCTCGTTTCCCCTCCGTGCGTTCTATCCGGCTTTCCAGACCGTCCAAAAAAGAGCCGCGACGGCTCCTTTTCACTAAATGTTTGTGCCTTTCCATGCGGAATTGTGAGGTGGAGGCTTCCATTTCCAGCAGCAGTGAGACTATGCCTACCTTGCTGCCGTGTTACCTGGCTAGGCCTGAAGATTCACTTTCCATGTTCCTCAAATTCCCTATCCTGCCTGCTGCCTCACTGGGCGGCCCCTGCCATCACCAGGCACTGCATGCAGTGTTGTGGCCACGCGGACAGAGGATTCCTGCTCTGGTAGAAGGGGGTGCCTTTCAACTCTTAATAAGCAGCGACGGGACTGTGGTATCCCGCTTCCTACCCAGTCGGTACGTCACAGAATTGGTGGATGGGCCGTCACGTGCATCCCTTCCCTTGCTTCCCGTCACTCTCACATGCCATGTCATCTGGTTTATCACTCTCTCATGAAGGCTCCTCGCATGCCAGATGTCCACTCCAGTGCAGGGTGGAGGTAGACCTCCTCAACCTGTGTGCACATTCTGTGGGATTTTCCTTGCTCCCTTCCCTTGCCCCTCTCAGGGTCCTTATACTGGCCTGTTGCGTGGCTCCCATGACGACCCAAGGGTGCCTCGAATTGGCTCCCCTTATCGACTTCCTGACCCGAATAATCTCCCCTGATGGCTCCCCGCGACTTCCTGATGTTCTTCGGTTTCTTGCTAGTGTTTTCTTTTGGGTGCTTGTGTCGTATTGTGTTTATCCCATGCGGTGGGTGGGTGCTTAGGAGAGGGAACACCTCGATATTCTGTACGTGGATGTGAATCTGACTTTACTGCGATTATTTGTGTATCTGATATTTGTAAAAGCTTACAATACACCCCTGCTATTGCCTCGTCCACCTAGTGGCCAGTTCACTGGGCTTGGGGTTGGTGAGTGAAATACAAGGCATACAGGTAATAACTAGATAGCATAAAAGCATGCAAACCCAGTAACACACAAATATTTTGCTAGGTAGTTATTTCGTACTGTTTTCTTGAGTCCACACAGGGCTGACGATATCAGACTATTTTAGTCTGATTGTCTGAAATTTCAGACTATTTTCCTGACATTCCTGATTTTTCAGAGTTGCTGGTTTTGAAAAATGAGTGCTTCAGACTAATGGTTTTTTCGATACTGAAAAATTCAGAGAGCTTGCTTACCGGATAATGAGTTTTCATACTACAGAGTACGAACTCCCCTTCGACATACCTGTTACTTCGAGGAAAACCCATCCCTCCGAACTTGTGCAAAAGGTTCGTTAGTAGGAAAACCTGCCTTAGTCTCTGAATTATAAAATTTTCAGAGTTATACTTCTCTGGTTCCTGAGAAATCAGAGTATTCACTTTTTGGAAAATGGGCCTCAGACTAAAAAAAATTAGGGGGCCAAAAAAATCAGAGTGGTTTTATTCGAAAAGTCAGCCCTGAGTCCACATTGGTTAAAATGTGACCTCTGCCATAATGCCATTCCTGCGCAGAGCCCAACCCAGCATAAATGATGCCCTGAGGGCTGAAGTTTTAAATTAGACCTCCCTGAATCTGGGTAAAAAATTCCCCCTGTATTATGGGTGCATAATTTCCAGAAAAACATCACCCTGATTGCTCAATGTTGGAAAGTTATATAGTCTGTTTGTTCAGGGTCGAAAGGTCAGGATCAGTGTAGTAACGTGCTGTGCATTATCGAAACTGAACCTCGATGGTCGGTGTATCGGAACGAAATGTCCAAGAGACTTCATCTCGTAAAATGTTTCCTGGAAACTCGGAGTACGATCCCGACGGTGAGTGTATCGGAACAAAAGTTCCAAGAATATTCATCCCGATAATGTCTTATTGGGGGTCGCTCACGCGCTGGCTGTACTGCGAACAATCCGAAGGCGAGGTTATCAGGAGGAAAGTTCCGAGAAACCTCTTCTCGATAAGGTCAAATTCAGAGACCAATGTAAGTAGTATAGCCACTCGAAAATGGTTCCTGGTCGCGCAGATTGCGGCACCCATTGTTATACGGTCCCGCTTTCTCCCCTTGTTGCATTTTAACCGATGTAAGTTGGCTGAGTAGGCGACTCATTGTAACGGGATCTGTTGCAGGGCCTCAGATTCGTTTTGGCCTAGGCTGAATCGTCAGCCTTAGGAGTGAGCTGAAGGCTGATCAATCAAGGTAGCCTTGAAAAAAAAAGCTGAAATTTCAGTGTTTAGTTTAGTTACGGTAAATGGCTGATCATTCAGCCTTGCTTAAAAAGAAAGGCTGAACATAACTTCAAGCTTTCTTATAGCGCAACACAGTCATTCAATTTCAAAGTGTGGCATTGAGAAAGGGGCATGCGACGTGCTTCCAACAGTGCACACGACGTGCCTACAACTTCATACACGAAGATACCTTCTGTCGGCGACAACAGTGCGCGCGGCATGGTGAATCCGAGCGAATCTCCTGTGATTTGGCGAATTTCTGGTAAAACATGCTGTGTCAGAGCGAATTTCTTGTGATTGGGCGAATTTGTTGTGCTCTGACGGGGCGATTATCTTCTCTGTTGGGGAAAATTTGCTGTCTCAGGGCGAATTTGCTGAGTCAGGGCGAATCTGCAGTGACGAGTCAAGTAGAAACACTTGCATCCAGAAACCAGAAACTAGATTGTACATTCGTGCCATTTGATTGGTCAGGCAAGTTTTGGTAAAATATCCGATACGTCAGAGGGTTTCAGCACTACACGAATCTCCACTAGTGGGATTTCAGCCTACATCCCCGTTACAACGCGGATCTGTTAGTTTACACCTCTAAAAAAACTTTCAAATATCAGCCCATACTAAGAAAAAAAGTTTGAAAAATCAGCCCATACAATACAAAAAAAGCTGACAAATCAGCCCCACTAAATCCCTAGCACTGAAAACCTTACCTTTTTACCCCTAATCAGCCTTTTTTCGCTGACTTCTGAGGCCCTGATCTGTTGCCATGTATGAGTTGCGCAGGTGCTCCCAAGAAGCGTCTGCGGGTGCCCACTATGACTTATAGGAGCAAATGCCAAGCTGCTCGGAGGGGGAGAGGTTCCGGAGAATAGTGGTGTACGCGAGAAGAGACTCGTGATAGTACTGGTTCTTCTCTTGGATGGTGCCTTCCGTCGGAAACGGTAAGCCTCCATCGTAGTACATCCGAATTTGCGCAGTTGTCGCGAGGAGCTCGAACTCGAAGCTCCACGTGTAGAAGTCCTTGCCGTCGAAAAGAACTGACGTCTTCAGCTTTGAAGTAAGATCGAACTTTGTTTGCATTGTCGCAATTGCTTCTGACTGTGTGCGATGTTGACTGTCTTGCGCAAGAGCTGAAGCTTGACGATTGTCAAAGGTAAATGACCTCTCGGAGTTGACGCGGCGGTCTTCTCCAGGGAGAGGGAGTCCAGAAACTCCTCGTGCGTAGCTCGAGCCATCGATGCTCATGGCTTGATGGCTCTCAAGGGCGTTGATGCGAGCGACTAGCTGCTCAACGAGAGCGGCGCTGACGGAAGTCACCGCTGATGGCGCATTAGTCGTTGCTGGTGGTGGGCCCGGAGAATCTGCAGTGGCTCTTCCTTCGTGAGCCATAGTGATGTAGAGTTGCAATGGTTTTTAATGAATAATTTATAAAGAGGGTGTTCTAGGAAGAACAAGAACTTGATAGGCCTTATAATCCACTATAGCTCTCATACCATGCTGTTATAACTGAAGGATCGTAGTGGATAGGATAAATCTGTCAAGTTTGAGAGAAGACAATGAAGTCTCTGTATTGACCTTGTTAATAAAGCTGAAAGAGAACAAGATGATTATAAGATAGGAGTACAAGGGTATAAATAGCAATCCTAGCTAGCCATGTTCTATGAGGGGTACATTCCCTTATTTGTTAAAGTAAGCTCATAGGCTAGGGAGCCATGACTAGGGTTTGAGGGTACTAGCGAGAGTGTCGAGAGAGTTGAGCAAGCCAAAGAGGATGATCCAATATTGAGCGAGGGTACAAATAGGAAAGAACATGCAAAGAAAGAAGGTGCACCACGACAACAAGGCATAGAACTACACTAAGTCTACACTACAAGCAGTTATAGAATCATGTATACAATTACATTCCGACACACCCCCTAATTGCCTGTAGTGAAGAACCATGTGCAGAAACACCTCTTGCAGGGGTACACCAAGTGCAGAGAAAACAGCAACAGCAGGCAAGAGCAGTGACAACCGGTGCAGTGGTAGCAGATTCAATTGCACCAACCCCTCCGCCAAGGTTGAAGCAGTAGAAGCAGGAGCGTGCGGCGGCAAGGACGGCGGCACAGCAGAAGTAGGTGCATGTGGCGGTAGGTGTCAAACTTATATATAGCTTACATTTGTGTAGGCTATAGTGGGGTAGCCCATAAGGGGTACAACCCAATTAGGGTTAGTACTCGTACCCAACTCTTTGCTAGTTCATTCATTCTCGTTCATTATTCTGACATGGTTTCAGAGCAGGTCCTCCGCTATGACCGGTTTTCTTGGGCCCACCACTGAACTGCTGCTAGCGACCCTCGTGTCGCCCCTAGGCCCGTCGCCCCTAGGTACGTCGACACCTAGCCCGCGCCCCGGCCCCCGTCGACCCTAGCCCGCGCCCGGCCCCTGTCGACCCCTAGCCCCGCGCCCGGCCCCCGTCGACCCTAGCCCGCGCCCCGGCTCCCGTCGACCCTAGCCCGCGCCCCGGCCCCCATCGACCCCTAGCCCCGCGCCTGGCCCCCATCGACCCTAGCCCGCGCCCCGGCTCCCGTCAACCCTAGCCCGCGCCCCGGCCCCCGTCGACCCCTAGCCCCGCGCCCGGCCCCCGTCGACCCTAGCCCGCGCCCCGACTCCCGTCGACCCTAACCCACGCCCCGGCCCCCGTCGACCCCTAGCCCCGCGCCCGGCCCCTGTCGACCCTAGCCCGCGCCCCGACCCCCGTCGACCCTAGCCCACCCCCCCCCCCCCCCCCCCCCGGTCGAACCCTAGCCCCGCGCCCGGCCCTCGTCGACCCTAGCCCGCGCCCCAGCCCCCGTCGACCTTAGCCCGCGCCCCGGCCCCCGTCGACCCCTAGCCCCGCGCCCCGGCCCGTCGACCCCTAGCCCCGAGCCCGGCCCCGTCGACCCCTAGCCCCGCGCCCGGCCCCGTTGACCCCTAGGCCCCAGGCCCCTCGGCCCCCCTTCTCCTTACTGTCGCTACTGCTGCTACTGCTACAGCCACTACTGCTGTTTCTACTGCTCCTGCCGACTGCACAGCTATGGCCTCGCTTCGAGTTCTAGCATTCGACCATGAGGGTAGACCGGTTCAGTTTGACACGTGGCTCGACGACCTGCAGCTGTACCTCCTGAGCGATATTAAG